CTCAACTAAACGTTTGATATCGAAAATTTGGTATTATTACATGTTGGTAGATAATATATTAATTAGTAAAACGTAATTAACTAACCAGTCAAATACATCAGTTAATTAGCTAAGATTGTCACGATGAAATTCGCTAATTGCATCACCAAGATGGACCGGAATTCGACCGGACATTCTGGGAATAACTCAATGGTTGGGGCTGAGTAACGAAAACCGTTATTAAGACGGAATATTAATTGGTAGCGCTAAGAAGACATCTTAAGGTCGGCGCGCATTGAGGTCAATTTACTTGGATCATTTTTCACTTTTGTTGTCGATGTAGATGTTTAATATTTGAAAACTCATTAGAAGAATCTTCAAAAGCTATGACCTTATATCACTTTTAAACTAACACTCGGGATTAAGTGGCTACGGAAATTATCAGAGTTGAAGAATACTCGTTTATTAACTCTTTAAGATAAACATGAAAAGATTCCTCAATGAAAGAAAAGACTGGGTTGTTTAGGTGAGTTATTCTGTCAGACAAATGATGATATTGAACTGATGCTGGTTAGGATAGTTAATTAATAATCAAAGTTCAATTTAAAGAATGAGCTCATCGAATGGGAACTAGAGATATAAATTAGATAAGCCGTATAAGATCAAGAGAGTGAGATAGTTTCATCATCAAATGTATAAATGCGATTTAAACTTTACTGATCCCTCACTGTTTTTAATTTGGAGCTACTTACTTAGACGCTCCCAGAAAATTCATATTGATGGTTCCTATTCGGCAAGCACAGATATCCTGTCAGGGGTGCCACAAAGAACCATACTTGGGCCTTTGTTAGACATAATATACACAGCAGAAATCCTAAGAAAGATACAAAACGTCAAGGTACAATCGTACGCTGACGATATTCAAGTTTACTTTAGCTTTTCCATGAAAGACAGAGCTGCAGCAGAACGAACTCTGAATGAAGAGCTTCAATTGATAAACACATTATCAGAGCAGCACAACCTAAAGCTCAACTCTAAGAAGACAAAAGTAATACTTCTTGGCAATAAAAATAGTATAAATATTTTAAAGAACACTCTTTCGTTGAAAATTACAAGCGAAGTTCTTAGTTCCTGCGATTCTTCTCGTAATTTAGGCTTAACTGTTGATCCAAGCCTTCGTTTCTCACTCCATATTCAAACGCTTGTAAATAAAGAATTTAGTTCCCTCAAAATCATTTATATCAGTCGACATTTCCTAAGTAAAAAACTAAAAAAACTTTATGTGAGACCTTGGTGCTTAGTAATTTCAACTATTGTAGCTTTATTTATGGACCGTGCTTGACTAGTGCTAACATAACGAAAATACAGCGGGTTCCAAATAGCTGCTGTAGGCTGGTATATGGAATTAGGAAGTATCACACAAAATCAGAGAGTGTGGCTTAACATGAAAAATAGGAGACTCCTTCACTTGTGTAATTTTACGCATAAACTGGTTCCAAATCCTCCAGGTCTGATCAAAGATTTCATACCTCGCAAAGATACTCATCATGAAAATATAAGATCAAAATTGAACTACACCGTACCGCAGCATAAGACCGCCATGCTTCAAAGATCGTTCATATATAATGCTATCAGGATGTATAATCAGCTGCCATAAGAATTCAAGCTTCTTAATATGAACAAGTTCAAATTCGAACTAAAACGTTATTTGTTTGATATGCAGAAGGATCAATGATGCAATGTTGTATATTCAAATTTTTGTTTATTTGTTATTGTGTAACTCTTATATATGTGTGTGTATGTATATATATATATATTGTCAATTTTCGGGGTTGAGTGGAAGAACACTATTTTTGTGAACTCCGCCTTTTGCATCATATGTCTATCTGTATCTGCATATTTCCAATAAAGTCGATTATTATTATGATATATGTATATGTATATATAAAAGCAGTATTGATATTAAAAGTGTGGCTAGATCTGTTTAACTTAGAATGTGTTGTTCCTTTCTTTGTACGCCCTGTATAGTTATTAAAAATTAAAACCATAATCTGTACATGTATGTTTTACTGCGAATGCCTGTGTTGCTCTGTTATTCATCATATATGTATACTTTTTCTGTCTACCTCACATTGATTTTGATATATGTAATTACATATCATTCAATAACAAATTGAGTTATTCGCTTATTTGGGTGCTCCCCTCCAGTGGTTGAGTAGAGTAGCTTTCAGCTAGACTTCGCCACTGGTATTATATATATTTTTTACTATACTGAATTTTCTTTGAGAATAAAAGACGGTTTATTATTATTATTATTATTATTATTATTATTATTTTAAAAGATACGATCGATAAAAAAACATTTTATAGCCACTGTATGAAAATTTAGTAAGAGTAGGGGCTAAAGAACGGAAATCGCACGAGGTATATTTGTTCAAACGCCAAATACACAACTAAGAACCTGCTCTACCCTGACGAACCACTCGGATCGAGAGGTCAGACCGATGGTCATTCATTCAGTGGTTTCGCATTTAAAAGGGATACATTAAGAGTTTGTACAATCAGATCAAGAGATGGTTTTCTTCTCCATATTATTCAATGAGCTTATTCTATCAAACACCTACCAATTCGAAAGGTGAGAGAGTTGGACATTCGTTATGGTTAAAGTGAAAACAAGCCTATATCCGAGGAAGAAGCTACCAAAAAACCTCATTCGCTTGCTTGAAGTCGTAAATCTCTATTACAGTTGAATACTATGTTTTATTACGTTTGACATATTCATACCTATATAATCGAACAAACATTGACGTTCTACTAGCACCATTTTTGTTTATATTTTAAGCTTTATGCTTTTTTGGATGGTTCGGACACTGACAGATGTCCTGACGCCTATTTCAACTGCCAAGTATTTTCTTAGAAAATGCACAGATATATCTTCACATCTGCATGTTACAATATGGAATGCTTCATACCGAGTCTTGTCATCCCTAAAATTGCCGACGATATGCATGCTGAGGTGTGCACGCTAAGTATAGCATCATATTGAATTTCAGAGGCGTTCTCCACAAATTCCCAAAAGAAATAAAAGTTAAATCTTCAAATTGTGATTGGAATTTGGTTCCTTGCTTCATATCTTACGTTGTAACCTAGGCATGCAATGTACTATTTTTGACAGTCCAATAGAAGCTACCTAACTATCAACATTTTTTTTCCAGCTTCAGTTGTTGTTGGAGATGACCACAATATGCGAACGGATGTTGGAAATACGCATAATCTACTGTATAGTTTTCTACAGTTTGTTAACCAAATGGGCTATAAAAGCGTTTTTATATTCTGCGCATATTATCTTTAATTACCGTCTTTAATTGTAGGTATACATGGCTGGAATATGGGCATAGAAGACATTAGTGGTAGTTATCAATCATCATTTAAGCTTGCATCAGAATAAGAAATACCTATCCGAATGACATTTTGAATAAAACATCACTGTACAGCCACTCACTTAGATCTTCACTGCAAATGTTCAATCATTGGTTAATGTATTCTTCCTAAGGATAGCCAATCTAATCCGTCCAAAAAGTTATTCCAAATAAAGTGAGATAACTTAGCGTCATCTATGATAATACTGCTTCTCTATTTACAATAAATTACTTTGAAAAGGTTAGTGTATCAAAGATGGTGCTGTAGATACATGTTTGTTTGTTCATGCTCTTATAGACAGCGACATGTATGAGACGCTACCCTTTCAATGCATATATAGTAAAGAGAGAAGCAGCTGTGACAAATGCTCATAGATAACGCTACCGTATACGTTATTGATTAATAATATAAGCAATTATTGTCCAACAGTTACCCCAGTTATAGGACAATTACATAAACGATATTAGATGACGGTCAGTGATGATTGAAAAAAAAACTTCAACTACAAATAATTCATTGTAACTACTGCACTAAGCGAGCAAGTAAATATATCACAATGGCAGCTAACACAACTCAGATACTCACACACAACATATATAGGTGATTTGACTAGTATATTGATCCTAGCTCTTGATAGATAGAATGCAGATACATTGAAATTAACCTGTGCCAGAACGTCTAGGGTGTCAATGATACCATTTCACAGTTTGAAAACGAATATGATACATGAGACTTTCCTTCTGCATTCTAGACTATGACTCCTTCAGTCTTAAAATACAGAAATTCTAGAAATTTTCTTTGCAACCTTTCAATACCGTTTATATGAGTTTGATAATATGGAATCCATATAACACTCGTATATACTAATTTGGTTCACACATATATGTGAAATATATAACTTGTAAGGCCCTTGTGTTACAAACTTGTATACAGTACAAAGAAACTGAAGGCTTTCGAGACTTTTTTCAAAATATGAGTAGTAAATGTCAATTTTTCTCCAACACCACACTATCAATGTTACAGTTGAACACAAGAAGGTTTCTTCCTGCTATAACAAACTACATTGCACTTACTTATATTTAGATGTAATCTTTTGAGATCACACTAAGATAGATAGATAAGATACTACTTAACTGCATTTGCATATCACTGATTCTCGAAGATATCATCAAATCATCTGCAAAACATAATTGTTGATATTCCAAGTTTTCACAAAGATCATTCATGAATAATAAAAATAACTGTGGCCCCAGGTTAGACCCCTGCGGAACACCAAATGGATCTAAGTAGACGTCGGATTCGAAACCACCGTATGCAACAAATTGTTTCGAGTCCAAAGTATTCTAATTTCTTTAACAAAACCCATGATCAATTTTGACCTTCGAAAAACCTGTATAGATGACATCAATTTGACAGTTATCGTCCAGACCCTGTGTTTAAATAATCAAAATGGTAACTGTAGATCGGTTGCTGACAAAACCGTGCTGCTTCTGTGAAATTTTACTGTTATTATTACTTTTACTATGCTTTTTTGACTCGCATTCTAAGTGAAGAAACAAAAACGCATGTAATGGTTTCGTTAATCCTCTATTTCTTTTTAGTTCCAGAATACGAGGTAGTTCCAATCCACCATATTCGAAGAAGAAGCTTACCAGATGATCTCGAAAACACCATAGATGTCGACGAACCTATCACTAAGTCTAAAGAAAATCTCGAAGATGGAAACCCTCTTCCAAAGAAAGCGCAGTTAAGGCTAAAAGCGTTTGGTGTGCCTTACAATTTGAGGCTGGCGCCCAACCAAGGACTGTTCAAGAAAGGAAAACTGAAAATCTGGACGATAGAGCCCAACGCTACTGCACAGCATGGAGTGGAGTATGTGGAACTGCCAGAGGTAAGAAATGACCTTCGTTAGCGTTAACCTTATTTGATACTTTTCACATATGAATAATTCTCTACATTCACTCGCACTCATGGTTTTCGTTGGTTAGTGTTTAACCAAATAGGTTGGTATGTTTAAGAAACTCATGAAACTGCGGAATAGTTTAATCGCAGTTACTACAATAAAGAAAATATATAATGAAGTCAAAAAATTCGTGTCGTTGAAAAATATAGAAAATTTAAAGGTACAGGTACAAAATTCAAGTTATAGGGCGATTATCCGGTGACAATTTGAAGATAATTTTTTCGTTTCCTTAGACAATTCTTCTTCGTGATAGTCTCCATGCCACGTTCTATGCCATTATTGATACAAAGGATATGATAACAAAGTATTAATTGTAAATATATTTTGTTCAAACTGATTTACTTGTTGGTTAGTAAAGCAATACTTTTTTGAACCTTGAATTTCACAATTTCTATTATTATTCTTGTATTGTCTTTAATTTTCTCAATATGTTGCCATCAAACATTACCATTTGGATCTTAGTTTTCATATTAACTTTGTATCAAAAAATTCACTTTTCATTATTGAGATTGAAAAAAACATGTGATGTTCCAATACTTTTCTTGTCATTCTGTTTATAAGTTATTTATACCTCTTCCGGATCTGTTATGAACTGCTGCCCAAGTTTATATATGTACCAACATTATTGTATATATACGAGCTTACAGTTACATAATTTTTGTTCTCGACTTGAAAAGTAAGGTTCACGGTTGACGATTATAGAATAAAATTTGAATAATCGCAGCAGAAATAAATCGTAGCATTTATTACTTCCATATGCTGGTTTATGCATGTTATCTAATTTGATGTAATTTGCTATAACTGTTTTAAGGAAATAACTTGCATGACTCATGCTATGTTGATGTAAATATATGTACATACTTATTGACAAATAAGAACCCAGAGGAATATAATATGATATAAAATTGGTTATGCAATGCAAGTATCAACCACCACTGCTGTTCATAAAATGTTATTGACTGCATAAGTTCAATGCTACCAACCGCGATCTCCCTTTCGAAATCAAAAGGCTGATATTTTGCTCACAGAAATGTGAATTTTTATCGGCATCTCGATAGAGTAACGTTATTACCTTTTATATAATTATTGTAAATGTAAACGGCAAATGTTACTTAGCGCATCACTGTCAATTGCATAATATCCAGGCATTCCTCCGATTAGCTTGTGCATCTTCATTACCTAATAATTAGCAAGTAGAAGTATAATTGATGATAAAGAGTTCATCAGTCTCGTGATGGAAATATATAGGAGGAAAGCATCTACAGAACAGCTTCTTACACCATTGGAAAGCCTTTCCTCCCGCGTGGTCGATTCTGATGATAGATGGCGCTTTCGATAGATCGTACCTCCCGAATAGAGGATAGTTGCGAAGCCTAGACCATGCTGATGAGTATCCAAGAAGTACGAAACAACTGTCTATGGTTAGCTGTCATTTGGTCAGATGGACAAAAGCATCATGTTTAACTTATTCAATGGAAAGTAGACATCTACTCAGAATCGTCAGTCATCTAGCGGGTACGTGGTGACTGGGCTACTAAACGTGAACTGAAATCTTTATCAGATCGATTATGTTTTTAGATTGCGCTTTATGCTGTCCTATTTCGATGTACAACAAAGAAAATAAATGGATCAAGTCAGTCAAACGGGCTCATACAATTAGTCGATGAACATTCTTGCCCTGCGCTAGCGGTAGTTATTGTCAGTCTAGCAACGTTGTCCCTTTCCGTATCTGTGCGGCAGCGCCAAGCGCGCCATCGCTGCAACGAGTTATCGTTCATTTCGTGGATGGCCCGCGTATATGTTTTTTGCGCTTCAGCACCGATAGATTAGTCAGCAGCACCGGTTCGCCGAGCGGGAATATGCGGATCAAAAACATTTTCCTATAGTTCTAATTTTTAAAGGCAAATGTACCCTTGAATTTCAACCTCCTACAAAATGTTTTCTGAAAATGATCAGGGCCCTAGAAAACGACAAAGGCGGGATAAGAGCATACAGTTTAATTACTTTAAGCATTGGGGTCGTTCAGGCGAAATCGTGGATACTACACAGCTTTACTTACGAGACGGTAACTTCACATAATTATTACTATCACTAAGAAGTCGAACACATGCTTTGACTACAAAACACTGCACGAGCTCGAGCGGCTTGGTCCAAGACGACCGAGAAAATTGGAGAGGTCGGGTAGCCTTGTGAGGCTGTTCAGCAACCTCAGAACTTCTGCATTGGGGTGTTGTTGATGCAGCCTTTCTTCGTGCCTGGCCACTACTTTCTTGATCTTGAATACCCCTGTTACGAACAAACCAATGGACATTAACCATGTTCTTCACAACTCTATTCTGGATTTTTTTAATAATTTATATCACCATTTTGTTAATTAAGATATAAACTCGACTTTTGGCTGGTATTAGATATCCACTATATTAGCGTATTCACAAGGTTTTTGTCTTCCTTAGCAAGGCAGAATGTCGATTTTGAATGAACTAATCTGTATGTTATATTTGATTTGTTGTTGTTACAATTTATAAATTTGGTTTTATCAATGAATACATAACAGTAAATACGATACAATAGCTAAAATCTTATAGTTATTAGCAATCAGAAATTTTTACGTCAAAAATGGTCTACAGTTTGCAGTTTCTGATTGTTAGTTACTTCTTTGATGTTTCCAAGAGATGTCCAGCAAGATAACTGGATACGTTATAAGATCTCATTTTAAAGGACCTGTAGTGCCTATTTGTAAACCACTTCTATATTTATCGGTTCTTCCATCATAAGCGAAAAAGTGATTCCTCCAAGATTTAATTTTATTATATAACTCCTTAATAGAAAGCGGCAATCGGCATGGATATGTTTTTCGGACTAATCTAGACTAATAAAAAAGGGCATGCGGAGCATCACTCTAGTAAAATTTGTTGTATCTCTAGAGGAAAGGCTGATCTACGGGTAAATTTTAAAAGATGCGAGTTATGATATAAGTTATGCTATAGGTATCTACTGGGGACACTGACCTTTTCAAAGATTGAGGTTTGGTGACATTTTTTGTAGTTTCTACAATTATATCTAAATTAAACCAACTAATAGACGCTTTTTTGTTCTTACACGCTTAATAATCGCTGCCAGTTCTGATCAATGGATGCTACTATTTTTTACCCTGGTGACAAACAACGACAATTTCACTTTCAATTCAAACAATGATTCATTTGTCATGCATTTTATACTGGAAAATTGTGTATTTCTATGCTAAGTGTAAAAAATATTCAATTATTTTTTAAAACAAAGGAAATAATATGGAATAAACCGAGGAATAATCTAGTCACACCTTCGCGCTCTGTATACAGATGCAGACGTAACCACCTGATACCTATATGTAGGATTTCTAAAGATGTAAGGAAAAAAAAATTTATAGCCTTAGCTGACCCTTGAGGACCAAAAATTGGGGTAAGTAGATCTTACGGTTCATAGAACGAAATGGGAGGCCTGTGTGACGGAATCCCTTGAAGGCATAAAATAACTAGAGAACAATCATATTCATCAAGTGTTCGTTTTTTTTTACCGAAAAAAAATAATATGTGAAATTGAATGAGAAATCTCTTAAGTCCTCTGTACTTCTCGTTGAAGGACTCAGCCAATATGATTCTTATTCCAGATGTCACTAGATCCAGACCCTACATTACATGTCAAACTGTCAGCATCAGAGAATAAATGTTAGTTCCCTCATATCTGATGGAAGCCTAAGGTGCTGGCCAGAATCTAGTTCAAGTTCAAGGCGTGGAGAACTAACTGCTCCAAAGCTTTGGCGCACACTTTACATTTAAACTATTCAAGTTGAAGTTTTACCAGTTTTCTCCCATAGGAATATACACTTTTTGTGTGTATACCTGTATGTATGTATCCTTTAATTTCTTCGGGTATTATATACTAAGTGACATATAAATCCGAACACCCAGTTTAAATGGTTTTATTTTAATAAAATTTTGTATTAGTACTTAATGAAGCATAATAAGTGAATGATAAAAATTTCAAAATGATTGCACTGCTTTAAAGCCCTTTGACCTTTAATAATGTGTGGATGCACCCTGATGTGCTACGCATTCTCCAGCGCGCATAGGCATACTTCTGATCAGGTGGTCAATGTCCTCCTGTGGTATCTCATTCCAGGCAACCACCAATTCCTCTCGAAGTGCTTCTAGAGTCTGAGGAGGACGTTGCAAATTGAGCAATCTCCTACCCATCATATCCCACACGTGCTCAATTGGGGATAAGTCGGGAGATCTTGGTGGCCATGCTAACAATGTGACATCATTATGTTGAAAGAAGTTTATTGTGACTCTTGCAACATGTGGTCGGACATTATCTTGTTGGAAAGTTGGATCTGCCAGGGTGTCAAGATAGGGTAAAAGATGAGGTTCTAGAACTTCGAGGATATAACGCTGCGCGTTCATGTTACCTCTGATGAAGATTAAAGGTGACCTGGAACCATAACCTATAGCACCCCAAACCATAACTCCAACAGTGTGATGAACATGTCTTTCAACAAAAAACTGTGGATTCCTCCTTTCACCACGTCGCCTTCTAGCCCTGGCACGACCATCGTGCATGCCTAAACAAAATCGAGACTCGTCACTAAAGGCAATACTGTTCCATTCCTGATCCCAGAGTGACCTTTGTCTGCACCACTCAAGGCGATTACGTTGGTGTTCTCGAGTTAAAGGGAGGACCCACTGTGGCCGGTATGAAAACAAGCCAAAACTTCTCATTCGTCGGTAAACACTTCGCATGCCAATAGTTCTTCCGTGTTCTGCAAACCATTTATTTGCAATGGACCTGGTAGTGGAGAAACGGTCCCTTGAGGCCAATAATCTTAGGCGGCGATCTTCACGGTCTGTTGTTCTACGGCGGCGTCCAGTGCCCCTTGCTCTTTGCGTACG